AGCTGTGTAGAACTGGTTGCAGCATCATTGAAAGGTGGCCAGTGCTTGGTGTTCCAGCATCCAAAGGGTGTGTCCTGGATTTACTCCCCACACACACGTTGCCATTTAGCCATTGATTGTGTGTGCATCCCCAGAGTGTGAGGTGGTTTGGATGTGTTGATGGGAGGCCATGGCAGAAGTGCAGCCTCCTGGCCTCTCTCTGGTTCCTCTGTGCAGCCACTGAGCACCAGGTCTGTGACCAGCTCTGCTCTCCCAGGTCACCAGCACAGCATGGAGCTGCTGGGTTCAGCCAGGACCTGGGGTGGGTGAGGCATTCCCAGCTCAGCCTCTTTGAGGGTGCTTTAACCCTTGTGTGTCTGCAGTGCAGCCCAGTCTCCTGCACATCCCAGTCCCAGACCCTCAGGGAGGATTAGCAGCCCCTGGCTCTGGGGTTTTGGGGGAGCCCATGGCTGTCCTTGCCTGCCCTGCCTGCAGTGTCCTGGGCTGTGGCAGCCTCGTGGCACCAGCACAGCAGCTCCAGCAGCCCCTGGCCAAGCCCATCCCACAGCACACAGCATCCAGCTGGCTGGAGGGGCAGGAGGGTCCCTGGGGGGCTCCCAGGGGCTTCCCTCCCCGCGGGGTGGCTTTCATCTGCTGCTTCACAGATGTTGCCTTTGGCTCGTGTCTGACATGCATCAATTACAGAGCAACAGCCCCGAGCCTTTGGCAAAATCAACTTTGGAGCAGCTGTCCTGAGTCAGCCGTGCCCGAGCTGGAGCTCTGGCTCTGTCCCTGCTTGGTGCAGCGCTGCCCTGGCCATCTCCACACCTCCTGTGCCCACCTGGACAGGGTTTCCCTGGCAGGGAAGGTCTAAATAGGGCACAAGCACTTGTTGCCATGTGCTTGATGTTTGTGCAGGAACACTTTAATGGGAGAGAGCTGCAGGCTCTGAGCTCTCTGCCCCGCCAGAGAAGTGATGGCCCCTAGTGTGAGGGACAGCAGTTGGGTTAAGGTGACAGTGGAGAATCATGTGAGGTCAGGTCCTGCTCTTGCCAGGGACTCCAGGCAATAATGGGGTGTCTGTTAACCCATCCTTCCTTGCAGCGCTCCAGAAGGGTCAGTTTGGTGACACTGGCTCTGACAGCACCACAGGTTTGACATCCTCCCCTCAGAGCACAGCAGCTCACACAAATCCAGGATGTGCCCACGATGCATCCCAGGCATCCACTGCTCTGCTGCAATTTATTTTTAAGACCTTTATTTTTTAGACAAGTGTCTGCTGGGAGTGCTCCCTGCCACCCAGCACAGCATCCCTGTGTGCCGTTGACTGATCCCTGTGTGCCACTGACTGGTCCAGTGCTGTGGCTGCACCCTCCTTCTGCTGGCACAACCCCTTGGAGCTGAGTTCTTGCTAAGAAAAGACCATCTCGGTTCTGGGAAGCTGAAAAAAAGAAAAAATTGCACATTTGAGTTGTGGCATTTCCCTTGGGAGTTTGCTGGTGCTGCTGGGCCATTGGTGGCTTTGCATCCCTGCTGTCCTGCAGACACTCCTAGCTGCAATGTACTGATTTTATTGTATTTTATCCCAGTCAGGACCCAGGTGCTTTAAATCACAGTTCCCCACAGACCAGCTGGAGCACATGGGCTGTCCTGCCAGGGGTGCTGCTTTTCCTGTGCCTTTGGTGTGGCTGGAGCCTGGTGAGCCCTGAGCCCTTCTCCTCCCCCTGAGGGCAGTTTGGTGAGGAGTGTCTGCTCCCTGTGCTGGGGACAGTTTTCCTGCACATCCCCTGCCAGGGACAGGTCAGCCCCTCTGCATGCTGCCAACAGCTCCTTGAGGTGCTGGAGATGCTCCTGGCTTTTATCAAGTGGAGGCTGGCTTTCTGCTCTATTTAATTTCTCAATTTCTCTGCACCTTACCTGCCCAGTGTCCCAGTTTGCTGTCCCATCCTTGGGGCTGTCCCGTGCACACAAGTGGTGCCTGGAGGAGTTAAACCCATTGCATAACCCAGTGTTGCTGCTGGTGGCAGCATATTTTCCACATGATTAACTTGTCATTTTGTTGGGGTTATTTTTAATGTTTTGCAGGGATTTTTTTTTTTTTTTGCTACTTTTGGCCTTGCCATTTTGGGATGGGGCTAATTTGGGATTTGTGGTGAGGCCTTGGGCACACTGGCCTGGGTGACTTTGTGAGGGGCAGTGAGGCAGTGCAGCTCCAGCTGTGCAATGTTCCTGCTCCCATGGCAGTGCAGTTCCAGCTGTGCAGGGTTCTGCTCCCATGGCAGTGCAGTTCCAGCTGTGCAATGTTCCTGCTCCCATGGCAGTTCAGCTCCAGCTGTGCAGGGTTCCTGCTCCCATGGCAGTGCAGCTCCAGCTGTGCAGGGTTCCTGCTCCCATGGCAGTGCAATTCCAGCTGTGCAGGGTTCCTGCTCCCATGGCAGTGCAGCTCCAGCTGTGCAGGGTTCCTGCTCCCATGGCAGTGCAGTTCCAGCTGTGCAGGGTTCCTGCTCCCATGGCAGTGCAATTCCAGCTGTGCAATGTTCCTGCTCCCATGGCAGTGCAGTTCCAGCTGTGCAATGTTCCTGCTCCCATGGCACTGCAGTTCCAGCTGTGCAGGATTCCCAGGGGGATTGGGATGCTCCCATGCCTCTCAGGGACAGCATTTTTGCTCTCTAGAAGCTCTGTGAGTAATGCACAGCTGGGACTGAGGGTTGGAAAAAAGTGTTCAAAGTGACCCAACAGTCTTTGGGATTATTTCTAGGTTTGTTTTTTCTTTCTTTTTTTTTTCTGCTTGGCCTATATTAAGCATGTGGAAGTGTGCTGTGCTTGCAGGAAGAGTGTGGTTCCACCTCACAGACCCCAGCAGGGCCCAGTCTGAGATGGCCAGAGGAAAAGGGATGATGGGCTTGTGTTTGGAGGAGCCCCTTTGGGGCAAAGAGGGAGGGAGAGAAAAGCAGGCAGCACATCATCAAAGGCCAGGAACACATGGTGTGAGATGAGCTGAGAACTGTATTGCTGTCTGGAGGGGTGAGGACTTTGCAAATAATAATGTTTTCATTCATAATAATAAATGATTAAAGAATAATAAATAATCATTGCAAAACATTGAGCAACAACATAATTAGGCTGGTGGCTGCAGGACCCAGGCAGTGAGCAGCAGCAGCCTGGGATGGGGAGGGCTCTTAGAAGTGTGTTTTCCTAAAAACCTCCATCTCTGTGCCTGCATGGGGCTGATGCCTCCAGGAGCTTGCAGGGGACTGGGCTGATCTTGTGCTCACTCTGCCTTTGGGATGTTTGCTGTGAGTGATGCAGAGCAGCTGGGGCTGGCAGGGGACAAGGCCACATCACCCCGGGGCACTTGGGGCGCTTTGTCCTTCCCAGCAGCCAGTGCTCCTGCCAAGGAATAGATAATTCCCTATTTTTTTCTTAAAAAGCTGTTGGCTGAGGCAGTAGTGTTAAATTTGCTTCTCCTGAAGGACTTTGTTAGGCTGGAGCATCTTGCAGGGGAGACAGGCAGCCTGTCTCAGAGGGAAGCTGAAGGCTCTGGCTTTCTGAGCAGATATGGACAGAATGAGAGCGAGAGCACAGGAGCTCCGTGGCTGTGTGGGTGTTGTCTGGCACAGCTTGTCTTGATGCAAATGTGTTGGGTTTTCCACAAGCCAGGGCCGGCAGGCTCTGATCTGCGTCAGCTGCAGCTCGAGGAGGGCACGTGGCAGTGGATGCCAAGGTCTGCCTGTGTCTGCAGAGCCAGCCAGCTCCCCCCCAGAACGTGGCTGAGCTGGTCACACCAGCAGTGCTGTGGTTCCAGTGCTGTGGAGGAGTGGGATATGTAGGTCTGCCAGACTTTAACAGCATTGCCTGGGCACAGGGTCAAAAGCATTTGTCACTCTCAGACATGGGCTGAGGACTTTCTGGGTGCTGGGTCCTGCTCACACCCCCACAGCAGCATCCCTTTGCTGTGTCAGCTTTGGTGGAGTGGGCAGGGATCAAGTGAAAACAGTAAACAGAGAAAGAAATTCCCAAATTTAATGTAATTATTGTGGAGGAAAACCCCACACTCCTCCTCACACCCAGCCTGCTGGTACCGTGAGTCTCTGCACATGCTTTACTCCTGCTTTGGATGCAGCTCCTGTGATTCCTTGTGAAGGCTGGCCTAGGACAGAGGCTAGACAGAGCTAAAGAATAAAGTAGGGATTTATTGGAAGGTTTTAATGGATCCACCTTGGCCAGTACAAGACCCAGCCAGGGCTGCACCCTGGATGAACCCAAAATGAACGACTGTGACCATGTTCACAGGGGTTCTTGGATCAGGGAAGAGATGAGGATCTGACTCCATGTTTCAGAAGGCTTGATTTATTATTTTGTGATCTATATTACATTGAAACTATAGTAAAAGAACAGAAGAAAGGATTTCATCAGAAGGCTAGCTAAGAATAGAATAGCAAAGAATGATAACAAAGGTTGGTGGCTCGGGCTCTGTGTCTGAGCCAGCTGGGCCGTGATTGGCCATTAATTAGAAACATCCAACATGGACCAATCACAGATGCACCTGTTGCATTCCACAGCAGCAGATAATCATTGTTTACATTTTGTTCCTGAGGCCTCCAGCTTCTCAGGAGGAAAAATCCTAAGGAAAGAATTTTCATGAAAGATGTCTACGACAGATGACTGGCCATGGGGTTAGGGTTAGGATTGGGGTTATACGTTCTGGTCCATTTGCATATTGGAGTTAATTGTCCAATTACAGCTTTAGCTGGTGAAGTCCCATCCTTCTTGGTTTTCTCTCTTCAGCCCATGTTGTTTGTGCCCTTGGGCCTGAGATTTGGATCATTTGTCCTTGGTCCCCCAGTTGGAGCAGGAATTGTTTTGTCTCTCTGCTCTGTGCACAGAGCTCACCATCACCTCATATGAAGCCCAGACCCACACACTAAATCAACAGAGAATCTGAAAAACATAAAAGCTATAAAATCTCGAAGCTGAGGCAGCAGGAGCAGCATGTGTGAGCAGGCTGTGTGTCCCCCCAGGTGCAGAGGCCGTTCCCAGCCCCGCTCCCACCATGACGGACGCTGCGCGCGATGCCGGCCCCAAGCAGGCGGCGCCGGCGCGGCCGGACAAGCCGGCTGCCGACTTCGGCTACGTGGGCATCGACGCCATCCTGGAGCAGCTGAGGAGGAAAGCCATGAAACAGGGCTTCGAGTTCAACATCATGGTCGTGGGTGAGTTGTTCCCCCTGTGTTGTCATTGTGCCACCACAATGCTTGTCCCCTTTGGAGCCTCCTCAGGAGCAGCGCTGGGCACTCTGCCTTGGCAGTCAGCAAACCCTGCTCTCAAGGAGCCAGCCTGGGGGCAGCTGGGGTTAAAGCTGTCTGTGTGATGTGGTCCTCATCGTCCTGCATCTTGGGGTGCATTGTCCATAGCACATCCCAGAGGAAAGCACCTCGAGGGTCTTTCAGAGGAGGGAGCCTCGTCAGGGCTCACAAGAGCTCCCTGGACACCTCTCCTGGAAGTCCTGCCCTGGTTTGAGCTGTCAGAGGCACATTTAAGGGCTCAAGGAGCTGCACTGCTGCTGCTATTCCAGAACCCTCATCCCTGCTGGTACCTCCAGCAATTTGGGTAAAATTCCTGTTTGGGATCTTTTTTTTTTTTGTATTCAGGCAGCCCTGCTACAAGTACCAGGGAAGAAATGCCAAAAGCAGTGATTTACTGATGGAAATAAAGAGCAGCAGGAGGGGTTTGCATAGCTCTGTCATTGGCTTCTTTGGGGACCTGCAGGGTATCCCAGGGAGTGTCCACATGCAAGGAGGGAGGGCTGGAGGGCTGTGTGCCCAAATCCTGCTGCCCACAAGCTCCTGCTCGTTAGCTCTCCTGGGCTAATGACACTGGCTGCACCACTGCTGCTCCGGCTGCAGCTTCAGGGTCTGTGCTCCTGCAGCTCCCAAGCCCCCAGAACCAGGGATGGCACAGCCACTGACCTGGAAAATGCTGGAGAGCTGGGCAGGCACTGTGGGACACCAGCCAAGGGGAAAAGGGAAAAGAAATGAGGCTTTTCTGCTCTTTTCCAGCTTTTAATATCTGACCTGGTGCTGTGGAGCCCTTGTGTGAGCTTGTGCTCCCTGGGGCTGGGCTGGTCAGGTGGCAGCTCTCCCTGCCTGTGTCTGCCAGGGGAGCTGCAAGGGGATGAGGGGAGTAAATTCCAGGCAGTGACCATGGTGTGGTGATGGGGCCTCACCATTCCTTATCCTCCTGGGAGGAGTGTGTAGGCTGCAGGTGTGATGGACATCCTGGAGGTCTGCCTGGGGTTGTGGAGGGGTCTGATCCAGAGTTTTTGCTAATTCTGTTAAAGATTTCAGTGTGCTGGAGCTTTCCAGCAAGCTCTGTGGGTGCTCAGCCTTTCCCTTGTGATACTTTCATTCCCTCTGCAGGGAAGGTTCACTGGGCTGGGTGATCACAGCAAGGCTGGTCAGTGCACGACTGTTAGAACCCTGCATGCTGGGAATTTTAGACTTTCTGTGTTAAAAGGCACAGACCCTCAAAAGAGCACTACATTTGACCTGAGGCCGTGGAGAAAGCTTCCAAAAAACCAGAACCAGTTCTTGGGAGGTGTTTTAAGAAATCCAGTTCTTTGCTGCAAACAGAGGAATCACTGCACTGGTCCTGGGAGCCTGAAAGAGAGATTACCTGTGCTGAGCTCCCATTTCCCTGCTGGAGGAGGCTCCCATCCCTCCAGGAGCAGGCTGTGCTGCCTCAGCAGTGTGCTGTGCAGATGGGGAGGGATGTTCAGGAGCAGCTCAGCCTTGGCAGCACTGTGTGTGGTATGGAGGCCTGTGCTGCAGCGTGCCTGGAAAACATTGTTCTGCCCTTGGCAGGAGCTGGGCTGGCTGTTTACAGGCTGGGAATTCAGGGCAGCATAAACAAGTGGAGCTCTGGCCCTCCCAGAAGATGCAGGAGGAGCAGCACCTCGGGGCAGGGGCAGCAGCCAGCCCTCATCCTGCTGTGCCTCCCTAGGGATGGATTTAGCTCCATCACACCCATCCAGCCTAAACTGTGAGTCCTTGAGCTGGAATTGATCCAATCTCTGTTTTACAGGAGGGAGCTGGGGACTGAGCATCACTGCCATGTGTGGTCACTCCTCACTGTGTCCCTGTGATGGGGCTTTGTGAAAACCCCACTGTAGCAAGGTCCCCATTCAAAAGGGTTTCACAATCCCAGCCAGAGCTGAGAGGGGGCTGCAGGCCATGGTCAGCTTAGTCCCTTGTCCTCTGAAGTTGCAGAGATAAAGAGGAATGTCTGAACTTTTAAAAATCCCAATCCCAAAGCACAAATTTTGCATTCAGTTTTCTGTGCAAAGCAGCTGGAAGGAGAGCAGAGGTGGCCAGGCTCAGCTGTGATTTTCCCACTGGATTCCAGTTGTGGGAAAGGCAGTGGGCTGCACACCAGGGCTGATGGAAGGGAGCTCTGCCCTGTGCTCAGCTCTCTGTGTCACAGCCTTAGGGTCCCCACTGTGGCTCAGTGAGGTCACCCTGTGGCTGTGGTGCCAATGGGGCAGCACATCCTGGTTGCTGGTGGCTCTCACCTCTGGTCCCTTTCCAGCAGTGCAGCTGCAGCAGCTTGGACAGACACAAAGAGACCCACTCTGGCAGTGTGTCACCCTGATTTCACCTGTCCCCAGTGTGTCACCCTGATTTCACCTGTCCCCAGTGTGTCACTTCCGCTCTTCCCCTCTCCCATTCAGTGGTGAGCAGTGGTGCAGTGAGAGCTCTGTTTTGGCTCTGCATGCCCAGCTCCAGGCCTGTTAGTGCTTTGCCCTGTGTTTTTAGGCAGCAGAGGACTGGGAGCACTTCCCCCAGCCTGGGCCATGTGTTTCTTACTGCCCAGCAGTGACAGTGACAGTCAAAGGGAGTTTTCCTGTGCTGGATTGCAGCCATTGGTGATGCTGCAAACTCAGCTGTAAAATTGCTGTTTGATCAGAGTGTGAGGTGATGCCAGGAGGTGATGCTGATTGGTCCTACCATTGACTTTGGCAGCCTGGATGGTCCAAGACTCTGAAGGATGTGGATGAAACCCTTGCTGACTCTGCTCAGGGACACTCTGTGGGACAAGGGACATGCTGGTGACAATGCCAGGATAGTTGGCTGTAACATCTTGGCAGAATGGGGCCACTGGGTCCCCATGGTGTGTGCAAGATCTCTGCAGTGTTTGCAGGGGGCCCTGGGATTTGAGGAGTTAATTTTCATGGGTTTTGAAGAGTTAATTCTGTTTCCTGCACTCTGGAAAAATTGTTCTCCAAGCTCATGGGACAGCTGTTCCTGGAGAGTCAGGAGCTGCTGCTGTCCTTTCCTCACAGGTCAGCATCAGCTCTGGGATATAAAGCATGAAAATGCTTTTCTAAAAGCTGTTTTTCTAAAGTTGTGGAATCTCATGTGCTTCTTGGGCTGTTGTTTGTGGGATTCAGAGAAGATCCTGGCATGGACCTGTGTCCATGCAGCCAGCTGGGTGATTGCAGCACAGTCTGTCAGGGAAGCATCAGCAGATGCAGCAGGCCTGAGGTTTGCAGGATTGTTGCTGTTTCTAGTCCTGTCCAGATAAAGGCTTGCCAAGCTGCTCCACAGCCTTCCCGTGGAACTGGGCAGAGCAGACTGCAGGAGAGTGAAGGCACACTTGGGATGGTTTTCCTGGGGTTCTCTGGTCCCCATGCCCTGCTCAGCATCACCACAGCCCTTCAAACATCCCCAGCACTGTCTGCCTGTCCTTGGGGTTGCTGGGGTTTTGCCTGGATGCAGGGAACCAGCTCTTGGTTTGCTGCTTTGGAGCCAGGGAGGGGCTTTGCTACCTGCAGCATCCTCCTGGCTGGGCTGGCCTGGAGCTCCTTGGCCTGGGGGAGCTGCAGGGGAGCAGCTGCTCCTCATCCCTCCCTCCTTCCCTCCATCCCATCTGGTGCAGGCTGGGTCTGTCAGCAGCCCCATCCCCTGGCCCCTGCCAGAGCAGGGAGTGCTGACTCTGGGTTATCCTGCTCTCTTCCAGGTCAGAGTGGCTTGGGGAAATCCACGTTAATCAACACTCTCTTCAAATCCAAGATCAGCCGGAAATCTGTACAGCCAACTGCTGAGGAGAGGATCCCCAAGACCATTGAAATCAAATCCATCACTCATGGTGAGGCCCTGCAGGTCCCACCTGCTGCTTTGGCTTTAGGTCCTGCTCTGCTTTGTGTCTCTGGGGATTCACAGAGTTTTGAACCTCCATAAACCTCCACTCTTATCTTTCCAAATGGGGTTTTGCCATCCATAGATGCTTGCAGGGCTGAGAAAACATCTGGTTTTTATTTATTCATCAGCACTGAGTTAATTGTGTTGGAAGGGGCTGTGGGAGTGGCATTCAGGGTGGATATGGGGCTGGATCCCTTTGGATGGCTGATTTGTGCCTCTGAGGAGCTTTGAAGGTGCATTTCTCCCCTGGGACCAAGCTCCAGCCCTGCACTGATTTTGGGAGGGTGGGTTTGGCCAGAGCACCCATCAGCACTGCCCTCACACAGCAGCTTGGCTCTCTTGCAGAGATTGAGGAGAAGGGAGTGCGCATGAAGCTGACGGTCATCGACACGCCGGGCTTTGGGGACCACATCAACAACGAGAACTGGTGAGCTGCCCCTCTGCCCTGGGTCAGGGGGAGGCCAGGGGACCCCCAGCACCCCCTGAGCCCGTGCCCAGGGCTGGAGCCTGGTGCTGTGCCCCCCTGCTCCGTGGGCAGCAGGAGGGAGGTTGTTGTGATGGCAGAGCAGTGCCATGCTCCCCGTGAGAGCCACAAACATCCTGCTGTTCCAGGCATGAGACAACCTTTGTTTGTGGCTGGGAGCAGCTGTGTGCCAGCAGGGCCAGTCCCCAGACCCTGCTCATGTGGCTCTGGAGGCTGAACTCTGCCTGGCATCCCTGGCACAGTGTCTGGCTCTGACCTTGTCCCCACCACCAGCTGGGCTGGGCTTGTGGGTTTTGATTCTGCTCTTGCTCCTGTGCTGTGGCCCCCTGCAAGGAGCCAGGGCTGTGCTGCTCCACAGCCAGGTCTAGGAGGAGAGAAGGGAGCAATTTTTAGGCACTTGCTTGTCTAAAGCAGCCAGTGAATCCCCTCCTGCAGCAGTGTGTGGAGCTGCTAAGCAGTGAACACCTGAGGTTTGTGATTTAGGAGGTGCTGAACATCCCAGAGTGGTCCAGGTCCCTCACACCACCCTGTGTTGCCCTCTCTCTGCAGCTGGCAACCCATCATGAAGTTCATCAATGACCAGTATGAGAAGTACCTGCAGGAGGAGATCAACATCAACAGGAAGAAGCAGATCCCTGACACGAGGGTGCACTGCTGTATTTATTTCATCCCAGCCACGGGCCACTCGTACGTACCCTGCTGTCCCTGCTCCCCTCAGCCCTCAGGGCACTTCTGCCCAGGGTCCTCCCATGGGTTTTGGGGCTTGAGGAGCTCCAGGACAGCTTGAAGCCATCCTCAGGAGGCCTTGCAATAACACAGCAGAGCTGCTGTATCCCTGAGAAATGAGGTGTTTCCTCTTCTGAAGGGCCATGAAATCCTCTCTGAGCTCCTGGGAGCTGCTGCCTTTGCTCTGGTCACTTGGCTTGCTCAACCAAGGATGGACCCAGGTCTCAAATTGGATGGAGAGGCTACTTTTGCAAGCAGAACATTCATTTTTTTTTCTTTGTAAAGTTTTCCATGTGCTTCCAAGGCAGTGAACACCCTCACCCCATAAGAGTATTTTCTAGGTTGTTTGACTAGTCTGCGAGAGGGATGCTGTTTATTCAGCCCAGAGTTCTCCTGGCTCTGGCACTTCTCAAGTGACAGCATCAAAAGGCCCAGATCTTTTTTTTCCTTTTCTATTTTCTTTTTTTTCCCCCTCCTAGCACACAGCCCACCCTGAAAATCTGGGGCACTTAAAATGTCTTGAAAAATGTGACTTAAAGTATCACAACAGAAAACGAGACCTAAGTTTCCTTTTGATTTGTGTCAATTCCTTCGACTTCTGGCTCTGTCTGCATTGGGGATGTTTTTGGGTCTGTTTTCAAAAGTAAACTTAAGCCTCCAGCACTGCATTAATGTCAGCCTTTTCCACTTCCCCATGTGGAGATTTATTCCAATAGAAAAGACTTTGTTTTGCTTCTGTCAGTGGGTAGACCAAAAATGCATCCTTCACTGGAATAAAATGCCTGCATGGGCCAGAAATGCCCCTCTTGTGTAACTGATCAGGAGCAGAGGGGCTGATGAAACATTTATGGTTGAATACAGTAAAACAGAGAAGCTTTCAAAGGGAAATGGCATTTTTAGGCCAGTCTAACATGTTGGTCCCACTAATCTCAGCCCAGATCTGCGGCCCCTGCCTCGGCAGGTCTGACTTGCAGCTTTAGCTGTGCTCCAGCTTTTCCTCACCCCTCTGGCTGTTTAACTCTTAAAGAGCAGTTCTGATGCTCAGAGGGGGGCGTGTGCTGGGTGCCTGGCAGTGCAGGCAGGGATGTGGAGCCCCACTCTGTGTCCCCTGGTGGAGCCTCTCCAGCCACGCTCTGGTTTCCCTCACCCGCCGGCCAACAGCAATTGTGTGGATTTTCAGCTGCTTTTTTTCCTTCTCTCCAGTGAACATGTGTTTCCAATATCTGAGTGAGCCCAGCAGTTGGGGGCTGTTGTTGCTGAGCCCTGTGCTGATCCTCTTTCCCTGCAGGCTGAGAGCCTGGCTGGGGCTGTCCCCACTGTCACACCCATCCCCTCCTGCCACCTGAGGGACAAACCCCACTGGGATGGGAAGTTTTGCTTCTCTGAGAGCTTGAGCGGGAATTAGGGTTCCTCTCTGCTCTTGTGAAGTCCAAATTATGTTTTTCATCATCGTGGACAGGCTTTCCCCAGCAAAGGATGATGTGGCCTCCTCTCCTGCAGGGTGGAGCTGCTGTGCCAGTGCTGTAGCAGAGGATCCTGTGGGGGAGCCTTGTCCTGGGGTTGTCACACACAGCTGGGTGCAGGTTTGTGCCCTGGCTGAGGCAGCAGGTCCATGGTCCCTTGCAGCAGGATATTGAGGTCCTTGGCATGGCTGGGAATGGCACAGAACTCCCTGTGCAGCTGGGTGAAGCCTGCCAAGGCACTGGGTGAGAGCTTGTTTTTTGCTAGATAAAAAGGAGTGAGAGATAAAAAAAACCAACAAAGTTGGTGCAGAGATATGGAGGCAGGAGCAGAGGATTGCTTGGCTCAGTTTCAGTCTGGCCCTCCCATCCATGCAGCTCCAGGGTTAATCAGCAGAGAAGTTTCTGCTGCATGAGGGAGCTCACAAGGGAGTTCAGGAGAGGCTTTGCAGCCCATGCAGTTCACACACAGCCTGTAACACTCCCATGTACCCATGAAGGCTGAGCATGGTGCTGGCTGGGACTTCCAGCTGCAGCTGCGCAGGCTGGGCCCTGCCAGCCAAGAAATATCCCTGCTGTGACCCCTGCAAAGCTCAGTTCAGCTCAGGAGTGGCTCTGGAACTCTGCCTGGCCCCATCAGCACCCCTGCCAGGGCTGGTGGCTCAGGAACTGCCACCCACTCCCTCTTTCCCCTCTGGCTGCCCCTCTCAGGTGCCCAGCAGCTCCCTGGAGCAGGTGATGTGGCTGGGCAGCTGTGGGTCCTCACTGGTGTTTGCTTAACACACAGCTCAAATTCCTGCTGTTAGTTTGGTCTGGGGCACAACCAAAAGGAAATAACTTCACAGCTCACTGTGGATTTTGATTCCTGTAACAGCATTTCAGGGGAAGCAGCAGCAATGAGCCTGTGCTTAGATCCTGTCTGTGCACAGTGGCAGAAATAAAAATGTGTGTCCTTGGCACCACAGTGTGTGCCCAGCCCTGGCAAGGTGTGCCCAGCTCACAGCCTCCTCCAAGCCCACAGCAGGAGGGGATGAAGGAACAGCCAGCAGCACCTGGAGTGGTTTGAGCCCATGCTGCACTGTCAGAGCATCAGCGGGTGGGATGATGGGGATGGACGGAGATGAGAGATCTCTGCATCCAGGTCTGGAATTTGGGGTTCATTGCAAAGGGCCTGGGTGCAGGGCCCTGCTGGGAGCTGCCAGCCACAGCTCAGAGCAGGCCCCAGAGAGGAGAGGGGGAGAGAGGGTGAGAGACTGAGAGAGTAAAAGGGTAAGAGAGTAAAAGGCAAGAGAGTGAGGTTCCCATTACAATACAATAAATCTTCTTCTGTGTTGAATATTCTGATTCTCACTAACCAATCTAGTACAACATACAAATCCTACAGCATTTACATACAGCCTATAAGAATCACTACATTACCATACTGGGTTACATTTTAAACCCTAAAAACTCCTCTTTGGGCCCCTTCTGCCAAGCTGTAGGGTCTGCTCTGACCCTTGGGCCTGTCTGCAAGCAGAGGGTGTTGTTCCATCAAAAGGGGATTACCTTCAGCTGGCCACACCATTGTTTTCCAGTTCTTCAGTAACTGAGGTATCTCAAAGCTTGCTTTCATTTCAATCTCACTTATAGCTTCTATGTTCTCAAAATCTTTTGCCAGGCAATCATATTGATAAGGCTTTCCTGTTTCATCTTCCCCAACACTGCACCTCCTGCTCTAGCCCACCCATTCCCCTTTGAGCTCCTCCACCCCTCCCAGCAAAGCCCAAAATGTGTTCGTTGTAAGTTAATAATATCAGAGACCATTTGGAGAAGGGGAGGAAAATAGATTTGGTTTTTGTTTTTTTGAGCCTTCTATTTTCTTCTGTGATGTGCTTGGAGCAAACAGCACTTGTCACCACCTTAATCCATGGTGTCTTCACATGAATATGATGTGTAGCTGCAGGCAGGCATTGTTCTTGGTGAAAAGCTTCACTTCCTTTTACATAATTAAAGTTTTGGGGGAGCTACCTACCTAGCAGGAGTTGATAGGATATCTAGAAACTTGCAGAAAACCCTAAAAACAGAGTTTTGGGAGCAGAAAGTTTTGTCAGAGGTGCCTGGGTGCAGATGGACAAGGTCACTGTGCCTGGGGGATGCTGCTGGACACAGCAGGGGTGTGGGCAGGCACTGTGGCATCCTCAGCATCCTCCAGATGTGTGAGGGATCTGAGGGATGGAACTGAGCTTTTAACATGTAGATTTTGCTGAAACTCTAATGTCTGCCTGATTGTGGATTCATGCTCTGTATGCATCCTGGTCTTTAAAGGAAAAGCTGATGAAAGAGGCAGGAACACAGGCTCAGTGGGGAAGAAGCTTTTAGAGGAGAAAAATTGTTTGGAAAATAGCAAAGAGAGAGGAGGGGAAAGAATTCTGCTGGGAAAGGAGCATTGCTGCATTACTTCCTTGGAGGTCTGGGAAATACATTATGCAGAGCTCCAAACAATGTTTGCCAGCAGCAAGTCAGCTTAGATGTGTCCATGGGGGGTTCCTTGTGGTTTTTTTCTATTCTTTTTTCCCTTTAATAGCCAAAATCTGTCTTTCCTGGGGCCCAGGGTGATCTGTGACCCTGTGTTTGTGTTAGGACCTCGTTTGTCCCTGTGCTAATGATGTGCTCAGGGCTGTGTGTGTTGGTGTGTGAGGACAGGATCCACCTGGCTCCATCCCTGGGAGAGGGGATGACCAGGGCAGGGTTCAGCTGGGTCACCACTGCTGGCTGCTCTGGGGCACCCCTGAGCTGCTGTTTTCAGTCAGCTGGAGCCGAGTGGGTCTCAGGGGCTGAATGGAGCCAGGCAGAGGTGTCCCTGTGGGATGGGGACACTGCCTGGTGGCTGCTGAGGGGCAGGATCGGTCCCTTCCCCTCTGCACTCCTGTGCCTGGCTCTGCAGGGGTCTCTGAGCCCTTTGTGGGGCACAGGGAGACCATGGAGGGGTTTGGCAGTGGGTGCTCTCTTGGCCCTTCAGTGAGGGCTCATTTCAAAGGTGACCCTTGACCCTGGGGCCTCCAGGTTTCCTCTTCAAGGCAGCACCTACTCAACTGTGCTGCATGTCCCCATCTCCTTCAGAGCCACCAAGGGAGACCTGCAGTACCTGGAGGTGTCCCAAGGAGGGTTTTCTCCTGGTCTGGGACCCCCAGCAGTTCCAACACCTTCAGGGAGGACTGAGGAGCAGCAGGGGATGATGGCCAGGTGCCCTCATTGCTGTCTGCAGCCTTGATGTGGAAGTGGAGCTGTCAGCAGGGAGGGATTTCCCAAGGCACTGATCACTGGGGTTATGCAATCCCTGCAGCTTTCCTCTGCTGAGACTTTTGTTGTAGAGATTTTCTGACATTTTTGCCCTCTGGAACAAGCAGCATCTCTTCTGTGAGCCCCTGGAGAATGTCCAGAGCTTTTTTTAATCCCAGCTGATGAATGTGAGAGGCACTTCCAGCTTGTGCATAACCACAGACTTTAGGGTTTGCTTAAAGTAAACCCTTTCTTACAACCTTTCTGTATGACCCTTTGAAAGAAATCTAGAGACCAATATGAATCACAGATTGTTGTGTGACATTGATGGAGAACTTAAAGGCCCCCTACATCAAAATCCTGTGCAGGCATATGATAAAACTTCAGCATCAAGTTTTCTGGATAAAAAAAATATATCTGGATATATCACTTTGAACAACAGAAATAATTTGCAAAATATTGATTTACATTTTATTGCTTTTGTACCACCAGTGTAACAGGTGCTTCCAAATACTCTGGGAGCAAATGATGAAGCAGATATTAATTGAGACATGCAGAAATACTCTCAGTAAGTTGTCCCAAGCAACTGGTGCTCAACACAGGGGGAATGTGAGCAGGGATGGTCTCACCTGTGGCCATTTCCACATTGTGCTGTCCCTGGATGGTTGGTGACAGCTTGGACAGAGCTGGAGCAGGTTTGGATTTGATTTGCAGTGTCCTGCTCTCATCCCAGCCCCACCAAGGACACCAGGAGCTGTGGGCAAGTTCCTGCAGTCCTCTGTGGCCCTGCAGAGATAAAAGCCCTCTGCCACTTCAGGGGCTTTGTGAGGGCTCACAGCCGATAGCGGCAGCTTTGAAAAGGAAATGTTTAAAGTGCTTTCAAACCCTCTTTACTCGTCCTATCTGAAAGGAAACGATTCCCTCTCTGTCTGCTCTTTGAATGCCTCTCCCTGTCAGGGGATTGCAGCAGCAAATCCCCTTTTTCCTGCCGTTTTCCAGAAGTGCAAATCCCCTTTTTCCTGCTGTTTTCAAATCCCTTTTTTCCTGCTGTTTTCCAGGCTGCGGCCGTTGGACATCGAGTTCATGAAGCGCCTGAGCAAAGTGGTCAACATCGTGCCGGTGATCGCCAAAGCCGACACGCTAACGCTGGAGGAGAGGGACTACTTCAAACAGCGGGTAAGGGGCTGCTGCCCCTTCCCTGGGCTCCCCTCTGGGCTGGCCCATCCCCTGGTGCCCCTTGCCCCCCTCGTGGCTCTCCTGGCAGGGCTGTGCAGGCAGGGCCTGGCCCCGAGCCCAGCGCATTCCTCCGGCTGCAGCTCGGAGCGATCCCGCGTGGCCGCAGGGTAGGCCTGCTCTCCAAGCACTTCCTCGTGTTTCTCTTGGATCTTTGTCAGTGCAGGATAAGTTTGGAGCTGCAGGCTTGCTTCTCCTGCCTCCTTTGTTGTTGTTGTTGTTGTTGTTGTTATTTTCGGGCTTGTTTCTGTTATTTTGGGAGGTTGATGCGCGTAGGGGCTGGAAAAGCCTCCTGTGCAGCATCGTGCACTGATACAGGAACCAGTAAAAACGTGTGGGTTTGCTGAGCTCAGCTGGGTGAGGTTAGGAGGGAAGCAAGGTATGAAATTCCCGTGGTTGGCTGTCTGAATCCACAACAAGGCATGGGCTGTGCTCACAGAGGAGGTTTGGGGGTTTGGTAAGAGACTGTAAATCTGTTTCTGTGGGTGGTGGATGTGGCTGCAGGTGTGAGGGCCTCAGCATTCCCTGCAGAAGTAAAAACCACCAAGCTCCTTGATCCATGAGTCTGACCTGGGAGAAGTAAAGGGAAAGAGAGTCTTGCCAAAAGGGTGGGTTTAGGGGCCACTCCTTTGGTTCTGGACAGCTTAGCCAGGGGTGGTTCCATGCCCCCTTGCAGGAGAGGGTGAGCTGCACCTTTCCACACCAGTGGGAGCCTCTCCTTCCCAGTTCTTAATGAGCAGCATCAGACACTGAAATACCCAGTCTGGTTTTGGGGGCAGTGCCAAACTCTCCAAGCAATTTCCTTGGCTAGAGGCTGGCAGGGAATGGAGCTGAGGGGTGGCCCAGGCTGGGCTCCCATGGCTTGTCAGGCTGTTTGCACAGAGCTCTGCAAGGGGCAGGTGAGGGGACACGGAGGGGTGAGTCCATGGTGCCACATCTGCTCTCTGGGGTGGCTTCTGCAGGCTGCTGGCTCCATTCAGAGGTCATCAGTGCACACATCCCTGTGTCTGTAGGTGACTGGCTGGCTCTGGCACTACAAAGTCAGTCTGGGACCTCAGATGTCACCTGGGCACCCTTGGCTGCTGATGCCATGGGCACAGTGCCTGGCTCTGCTGCTCTGCACTGGCTCAGCACAGGACGAGCTCACCCCATCTCTGATTGCTTCCTGATTATAACCAGACCTCCCAAATCCTTTCAGATGGAGGGAGAGCATGTCACCACATGGTGTGTTTGCTCCCAGCAGATGAGAGGACAGGAAATCAGGCCAGCTGGGCACAGGCTGGGACCTTTTCCACTCGTTCATTCCAGTGTGCTTCCAAAAGCAGAGCCCTGTCTGCCTCTGGGGTGTAGCCTGGTTCAGAGAGGTGGTAGATTTTGGGTTTGGAGATGTGAAGCCCCAGCCTGGCTGCAGGTTGGTGCCAGTGCTGTGCTGAGGGAGTGGAATGTGCTCCCTGGAGTGGGCTTTGTTGGGTTGTTGCCCTAAACTCAGTGTGGGGGTTTGGTGAGGGTGGGAGGCTGGCTGGGGGCATCCCCTGGGCTGGACCCTCTCCTCTGCCAGCCTGCACTGTAGGACTGGGGTGGAGATGTTGCCATAGGAAGTGGTGAGAGCTGCTGCCAGCCTGGGTTGGGGTTTGCAGCACTGTAGGAGAAGGTTGATCCTTCACACTCCCTGTGAGTTGAGCCTCCACCCAGGAATCAGATTCCAGCATCTCTTGGCCTTGCACAGAGGCAAAGTCCTTAGAGTCTGCCCTTCAAAGCTGTGTCCTTGTCCCTCCAGATCAAGTTCCATTTCCAAGGAGTGTAAACAAACAGCAGAGAGCAGCTTTTCACCTTTGTGTTACAAGCCTGGCAGCTGTTCCCCTTTGCTTGGGCAGCTTGTCTTGTTTGTTTTTTCCAATCCCAAACAACATCTAGCTTGTGTAACTTCATCTCCCTCTCTGCCTGAGCCATGTCTTTGGCACCAGGTTCTTGCAGAGGTTGCAGGGCAGGCTCTTGGTGGGTGTGTGGCACAGGTCTCTGTCCCCAAAGGGGGCTGTGTTTAGGATGGAGAGGGAGATGGTGCTGCTGGGACTGGTGGGCATCACTCAGAGACCCTTTGGGAGCATCTCCTGTGCCTGCCTGTCCTTCACCCGTGCCTGTGCTCTTCCCTCCTAGATAATGGCTGATCTCCTGGCCAATGGCATCGATGTGTACCCCCAGAAGGAGTTTGATGAGGACTCTGAAGATCGGCTGGTGAACGAGAAATTCCGGGTCAGTGCCTGGGACAGACCTGCAGCTCCAGGGCTGGCCATGACCTGGGGCTCCCTTCCCAAAGGCTCTGTTGTGTTCCCAAAGCTGCTGTGCCGTGTCCATGGGGTCTGCCCTGCAGCAGGGATCCTGCCAGAGCTCAGGGCAGGGGTGGAAGGAGGGTGGGGAAGGTGTCCTGTCCATGCTCCATCCCCATCTCCACCCTGCCAGGTGTGTCACAGACATCTTTTATGAAAAATCCTTTCCTTAGGATTTTTCCTCCTGAGAAGCTGAGAGGCCTCAGAAACAAAATGTAAACAATGATTATCTGCTGCTGTGGAATGCAACAGGTAGATTTTTGATTGGCCCATGTTGGATGTTTCTAATTAATGGCCAATCACAGTCAGCTGGCTCAGACAGAGAGTCTGCTGCTTTTGTTATCATTCCTTCCTATGCTATTCTTAGCCAGCCTTCTGATGAAATCCTTTCTTCTATTCTTTTAGTATAGTTTTAGTATAATATATATCATAAAATAATAAATCAATCCTTCTGGAACATGGAGTCAGATCCTCATCTCTTCCCTCAGCCTGAGACCCCTGTGAACACCATCACACCAGGTGCCCTCACACAGGGTCCATGGCCCCTTCCCCTGCCCCAGGCTCAGGGAGCAGAGGTGCCTGCCCATCCCTGGCTAGGGCAGCAGCCTTCCCAGCACTGGGATGGAATTTCACCTCTAGGCTGCCTGCTGATAGCAATTCCACACTGCAGGAATCAGCCAGCAATTTTTTGGCACATTAAAGTGGATTGGACAAATTTGTGGAAGAAAAATATCTTTTAGGGACTCTGAAGTTCAAAGACACCAACTTGGATCAGGAAATGAGTTGGCCACAGGTTGCTGGGAGCAATTCCCAGGGAGGTTTTGGGATACCTTTGCTCAGCTGTACCTGGTGCCTGCCAGTGGGGGACTGGACTAGGCTGGGTTTGGGCTGGTTTTAGGCTGGGCACATGTGCAGGAGAGCTGGTACCCAGTTCCGGGCTGCCTGTGGGCCCTGGCAGGCAGCACTGCTCAGGAACATCAGGGGCAAACCAGCTCATCCCATGAAACCCCCCTGGAGGCAGGAGGATGTAGGACTTTGCTCACTGGTTTGGTTTCCTGAGCAGTTCTCAGAAGAAATCACAGCCTTGTTTTTCTCTTTGCGCAGGAAATGATCCCATTTGCAGTGGTGGGCAGTGACCAGGAGTACCAGGTGAATGGAAGAAGAATCCTTGGGAGGAAGACCAAGTGGGGCACCATTGAAGGTACCTGAGTGCTCCTCCCTGCCCTAATAAAGTCCAAAACCAGCAGTAGAAGTTGAGGTGGATGTGATGCTTCCCTGCCCCTCCAAAAAAGGATAATTTTCCTCATGTTTGAGGGCCAGATTTGAGGGCACACCAGTGACATCCCCATGTCTCAAGCCTCTGTTAGAACCTTCCCCTGGCATCTGTACCCTTCACCATGCCTTGGTTGGTGCCCTTGTGGGACCTCTTCCATCTCCCATCTCCATCTCCCTTTTTTCTCCCCCATTTTACAATTATGGTTTAAAGGCTAGATGAAAGCTCCTGGCTCCAGCACATCCACACATTTCCCTGTTGCTGGTTTCTGGCAGCCAGCTGGCTCATTTCCAGTGCCACCCCTCTCATCTTCCTCCCCTCCCCTTCACAGGTTCCTCTCATTTACAAGTCTTTTTAATAGGAATCCTGTGTTGAGGGATGGTTTAACAGAGCTGCCAGGAAAATCGGTGTATTTTGAAGCTCTGCTGCCCTCTTGTGCTGTATCCCTGAACATTCTGAGTTCAATGGGATTCATTAAACCCTCACCTTCCCCTTGGGAAGGCATCTGCCTTCTGCACAGGGAGACCCCCAGGACACAGCCATGGCCACAGGCAGCCTTTGCAGAGCAGTTGTGTTTGTGTTTTGCCATTCCTGCATGATGTTTAGTGGTTGGACTCAATGATCTTAGAGGTCTTCTCCAGCATAAAGGATTCTGCTATTTTATGTACAGGATTTTTGGGATTAAAAAACAATTAAAACGGCATTCTTCCTCTAAATTGAGTAAAATTAGAGGTAAAATAGCAGCTGTCAGACTGATTGTGGTGGAGCAACACCCCTTGGTTTTTCCCTATTGCAAGCACTCCTCCTGCCAGCAGAGGCCCTTGGCAGCAGGAGTTCCTGTCCTTGCACAGCCCTCACAGTGTGCCTGGGGTTCTGCAGGATGCTCATGGCTGAGCTACAGATGAAACTTCAGTGGAGAGCCTCACCACAGCCCTCCCCCTTTCTTGTTTGGGGTTCTGGGGCTGTGCTGGGGGTGCTGCTGGGAGCTCCTCGTTGGTGGGACCCTGGGAAGGGCTGTGGGTGCTGTCAGACCTCACCAGGGCTGAGCTTTCCAGCAGCAAAGAGGACTCTTGAGTCCTGTACTTGTACCCTGGGGTGTCAGAGCCCACCTGAGCCCCCCACACTCTGGGGAAGCCCCCAGGTGCTGCTGGCCCAGGTGCTGCCATGGGGGCTCACTGATGGTTTCTGTCTCTCTTGCCAGTGGAGAACACAACACACTGTGAGTTCGCCTACCTGCGGGACCTCCTCATCAGGTCAGTGCCCTGTCCCCAGAGCCTTTGGTCACCAGGTGGCATCCAGGGAAAGGGGACAGCCCAGCACAGCTTGAGGCAGCTGCTGCTTTGCTCTGCTGCTCCCTCCCTCCACCCATTCACCCTCCATCCCTGCCTTCCCTCCCGGCCCACTGCAAGGGGTGGCCCCACTCTTTGGGGGCTGAGTGCAGGGGGAGAGGGGCAGTGGGGGGGTCAGGACACACTCCAGGATTGCTGGCAGTGTGGCTCCAGCTTGCCTGCAAGCAGCTTCTGGCCTTAGTGGTCCCTCACCAGTGCCAGCTCTCACCCCCAGTTCAAAGGCATCACCCTTCACTGGGGTGTCACTGTGGGGTCTGGGTGAGGCTGGTCCCTCCGAAAGAAGTGTCCCTGCTGTGGGGGAGAGGGAGGCTGAGCCCCCTGGGCTTGCTGGAGAGGGGACATTGGGCTCCTCCCCAGTGTGGCTGCAAAGCCAACTCTGCACAGGTGATCACTCTGCTGCTGGCAGAGTTATGAGGGGCTACAAAACCTCAGCCCAGGTCTAGCAGGGTGGGGATCTCCCTGGGTGGGTGTTGTGCAGCCACAGGTCTGTGTCCCCAGGCACAAATGAAGGCTTCAGCTCCTGCTGCCCAATAATGCTGCCAATGATTGCCTTTACTTCCCTCCTGTGCCCTAAAGGAGGGAATTAACCTGCATTAACCAGCAAGGCAGGAGGGCACATTGGGCCTGGGGGTGTTTGGGGTGACATGGGCTGGTGTGATTGCTCCATCTCCCTTCCCTGCAGGACACACATGCAGAACATCAAGGATATTACCAGCAACATCCACTTTGAAGCCTACAGGGTGAAGAGGCTGAACGAGGGCCAGAGCTCTCTGTCCAACGGCGTGGCTGACAAGGAGCTGGTGGCCAACGAAATGTAACCGTCCCTCGCCGCAGCCAGGACCTCGCTCGCTCACGCTCGCTCTTTCTCCCCTCTCCCCCCTTTATTTTTATATAAATCCTCTGCCACTGTCCCTCTTGCCCTGCTCCCTGACCCCCTGCCATGTAAACTGACCAAATAACCAGACGTGGAGCGGGGTGGCCGCTCTCCCCCTGCTTTGTGCCATGAGTTTTGTGCTCAGCCCCCGGAGCGGCGTCCCTGGCCCAGGGTCTGTCCCTCTGTGCAGGCTGGGCTCTCACTTGCCCCCAGCTGTGGCCCCACAGCCACGCCAGGGGAGCAGATCTGTGGGGCCAGCAGGGCTGGGGTGCCCTGGGAGCCCTTGCAGCCCCTCCTCTCCGTCCATGGAAGGCGAGGGCTCCTCCAGGTGGATGGAGCCTTCAGGGCGAGGTACGGTGGGATGAAGAGAGCCAGCCAGTGCCGTCCTTGCCTCCTGCAGCCCTCTGGGAGCCACCAGCCCCCAAACCAGCCCCTGTACCCTCTCTACATGCAATAAACTGGGAGTGTTGAGGTGTCACCTCGCCTGTCACCTTGCCCCGGCCAGGCAGAGCGCCCTGCTTTGGGAGAAGTGCCTTTTAGACTGTGACCTTGCAATAGCGTGGGAGAGGGGAGGGAGGCTCTGCCTTGTCTGTCTCTGCAGCCTACACAAGGCTGTGAACCTCCACAGAGACTCTCATTCCCTCTCCCTCGGGCCAGAGCTGTGGCTGATGTCCTGGGAACACTTGTGTATTTATTTGTCACTCGGGTGGGTCCTTGTTCTCTGAAGGCTCCGAGTGTGTTTGTCCTGAGGGGGCTGAGCGTGGAACTTTGTCTCTGCAAAGCAGTGCTGGGAGGCAGAGGGTGGTCCTGTCTGACCTTTGTGATTCTTGGGCTTTTCCCTACATCAGAGGAGGCTCTTGGGTAGCTGTAAATTCCTTTTCATTTCTTGGGTCCCTTGTGTGTCCAGGGAAGATGCTCCTGTTGTGCTGGTCCTTGTGCAGGGGGTCTGTGCATGTGCTGACCGAGCCCTGCAGCTGTGGGGGGAGCTGGGTGTTTGTGGGTGCTGCTCCCCCAGCTCTGCCCCCAGACCCTTCTCTTTCTGTGTAAATCAGACCCTGCAAGCATTAGGTAGCACTGTGACCCAGGAGCAGGGGTTCCTGGAGCAAAGCTCTGCAGTCCTGCCGCTCTCCCCAGCTCTCCTTTGCCTTTCTGGTGTCCACCAGTCTCCCAGTCCTCTCTAAGGGAAAAAAACTTCCTGCAAATCACCCATTCTGGGGGCACACACCGAAGTGGCAGCGTGTCCCATGCTCTAGCACTGGAAGGCACCTGCAGAGCCCACGGGGGACAGAGCCTGGCTCAGCACAGGAGGAGGGAGGAGGTTGCTCTCCCCTTGCTGGGGCTCCCCAGCTTTTCAGGGGCTCCCCACACACCCCCCCAGCAGCCAAAGGGGGGTGGATTGTGAGAGTCCCTTCTCCCCTTCACTCACATCCCCCTCCACAGCAGCCCCACGGAGCTGTTGGGGAACAGCAACTCTGTACTTGCTGACTTGCTATATTTTAGCAAAAAACAACAACAAATGTATTAACTGAAAAAAAATATATATTTCAAGTGTTAAAAAAAGACTGAAAGGGGAGGAAAAAACCTCTTGTGTGAGGCACTTCTGCAAATGCCATCCTAAACTTTTTTTTCCTCTACTTGGTATCTCAAGCTGGGCCAAGCAAGACACGCCGCTTTCTCCTTTGTAACCTGACTTTTTTTTTTTGAAGGAAAAAAAAAAAAAGAAAATAATACAATAAAAAAACCCTTCATCCAGATCTATTAAAAATGGCCTTTTGGGGGTTATAAGCATTATGAAAATTTAGTCCATTTTTGTATAAATAATAGTGTTTAATATGTATTTCCCAAAATAAATGTTTCGAATGCAAATAGAAGGATGCTTGTTTGAAAATGTCTGTTCCCAGCCTTGGTATAATCATTGCTGTAGGGCTGGGCGTGATGGGAGAATCCAGCCACAAAACTGCCCTGTTCAGGGTGGAAGAGAATTCCTTGACACCGGCAGGGGGGTTATTTACAGACGGGGCTGCTGTGGAAAGTGCCTTGAGCTGTTTGATTTTCCAGCATCAGTCTCAATACATGGTTATGACAATGGGAAGATGGCAGCAGCTCACACCCCAGGCAGCAGACAAAGAACTCAATGTTACAACTCACTTTAAAAGCTTTTTGACCAATCACACAAAGCAAGAGCACATTGACAGTAGTTCTATCCAGTCACCATAAGCACAGGTACCTTTGGCTAAAACAATGCTTGCTTATTTCAAATACAATACCTGCTTGTAAGCCTTAAAACACAACACATAGAGCTTCATTATTAAGCTTTAACCTTCCTAATATTTTGCTAGATAAACTTTGTGCAGCTTAGAGAGCTATTCAGACAAGTGTTAATACACAGGCCATTGTTCTATTTGCCCTTGCTTTTTCTACAGTTTAATTTTTCTGCTGACCAATCTCATGGCTGCTGCTTTAGTTCTACTTACAGTTCTGCTGTATCTGAGGCCTGCCTTTTGCAGCTTTCCCCAAAACTTTCTGATTTTCCCTCTAATTTTGTGGATTTCCACATTCCTGACCTCCTTGACTCATCCCACTTCAGATTCCTGCCCTAGGTACTCTCCAAACTGCTGGAGCTGATGGATGGAGCTTTGGGATGGAGCCAGCCCAATCCTGAGGGGGGCAGGTGGATCCCATCCCTGTGTTTCCATGGTGGGGCTGTTCCCACCGTGCTTCCTGCTGTTTTTCCAGAAGTGTGTTTCCCCTAGTTCAGGGGCAGGCAGGAGCTCAGCTTTCACACCTGAGTGGCTTTGGCTGCACAGGCAGGTGGTTCTTCAAACCCTTCATGGCTGCAGGCTTGGCCTTGGGATGCCCTTGGAAGTGAAGATTGGCCATCCTGAAAACCACACTTGTCCCCGGTGTCACAGATGTGACACTGTCCCCTCTGGTTTAATCTCTCTCATGTGTTTATTGTATTTTTCCCCCTGAGTAGCTGAACTCAGAGGTCACCTGGAGCTCTAAGTGACCCTGTTTAGGCTGGAGCAAGTGACTTCAGAGCTCCTTTCCAGCCTCAGCCCTCTGGGATTGTGTGGCTGTGGGAGGATGGACACAAACCCAGCAGGGCAGCACTCAGGTCATGTTCCTGAGGGGCTCTAGAGCACAGGACAGCCTTATGTACATTTTAACTCTGCTTTTCTGCTGTTATCTGGGTTTTGGTGCAGTGAATTGTCTCATCTCACGTGGCATCAGTGATGGGACCCCTTTGCCACAGTGCCAAACCCATCCCCATCAATACCCTCCCATTTCCTGAGCTGTTCTGTGCTTGCCTCACCCCAAATCCTCACCCCCACAGCTCACAAAGGATTCCAGGGTAAGAAGCAGCAAAATCAAAATGTTCTCACTGCTGTAAGCAGAGCAAGACCCAGAACAAAAGCTCCTAGGGATGGAGGAGGGAAAATCAACGTTGTAGTAACTACAAACACAGGCCTTGGGCTTTGCTCCTAGAGGAACCTACAGCAGATTCTGCCTATGTTGTGGTTTTTCTTGTGCTGGGATTTGGGGTTTTTTTTGCTGTTTTCCTCATTGTTGGTGTGTGAGCATTTGAGGGAGATGGGACAGAGGATGCTTAGATTCTGGAATCTGAGTGTGTCCATGCAGGGACAGAGGATGCTCCAGGGCTGTGACCATGTTCACAGGGATCCGAGGATGAGGGAAGAGACAAGGATCTGGCTCCATGTTTCAGAAGGATTGATTTATTATTTTATGATATATATTATATTAAAACTATACTAGAAGAATAAAAGAAAGGATTTCATCAGAAGGCTGGCTAAGAATAGAAAAGGAAAGAATGATAACAAAGGTTTGTGGCTCAGATAGAGAGTCTGAGCCAGCTGACTGTGATTGGCCATTAATTAGAAACAAGCACATGAGACCAATCACAGATGCACCTGTTGCATTCCACAGCAGCAGATAATCAATGTTTACATTTTGTTCCTGAGGCTTCTCAGCTTCTCAGGAGAAAAAATCCTAAGGAAAGGACTTTTCATAGAAGATGTGTGCGACACAGGGCTTCCCAGGCAGATTCTGGAATCTGAGTGTGTCCATGGAGGGACAGAGGATGCTCCAGGGCTCTCCAGGCAGATGCTGTCCTGGTGACAGGTTGAGAAATGGTTTGTGGATGGAGAAAGGGGAAATCAGGCAAAATCCCCCAGCTCAGCAGTAAGGGCAACTTTTGTTTAGGCCAGAGGAGGAGCTCAAGGGGTCGGAGGTCCCTTCATGGGAATGGTGCAGGGAATGGCTTCCAGATGTTGGGAAGCTCCAGAGAGGTGGGCTTGGCCAAGAGAGAGCAACACCAGATGCTCTGATGGAACAGGGGCTTGTGTGGTGCTGTGGGAAAAATCCCAGCTGTGGGAAGGGCTGGCCATTGCAAAATTCCCCCCAAATCCCCAGAGTGTCCCAGGAGTGACCTGGGAGGGGCTGGGTGGGGATGGTTTGGGCAGAGGAAAGCAAGGCAAGGAGCTGCCCCCCCTGCCCACACCCTCCAAGGGAAATGTGCCTCAGGATGGCAGCAAGGACCTTGCACTAATGGCTTATTGAGTGGCCTCACTTGAACAAATGAGGGAAATGAAGATGAGTGAGAGTTTAATTACCGAGCTGAGCAGCTTTCCACAGCAAGGATGGGCCCTGCTTGCCTTGCTGGCTCTGGCAGGGAGAGAGAGGGGTCGCCCAGCACAGCTGGGCTCTGGGGGTGCCTGGCAGCCCTGCAGGAGGGGGCTGCAGGGCCAGGCAGGGCTGGAGATGGGTCAGGTTCCGAAGAGCATCTCCATCCAAAGAGGAGGACTATAAATAATAAGAATAAAAGGGAGTATAAATAATTAAAGCAGCTCGTAGCGAGCAGTTCCCGAAACGTCTGCCTGATTTAAAAACTAATTACTTGGAGGGTAATCACCACCAGAAGTGCACATATTTACCCACAATGCTGCTCTTCCCTCCTCTTCCCTTCTCTCCCTTCTCCTGATTGCTTTCCCAGGCTCTGGCACAGACTTATCACTCATCTACAGTGCACAATAAATGGGCTTGTACTCGTCCATCTCCCTGATTAATTCCAGCACTGGAGACTTGCTCAGGGAGGAATAAATCCTCTCAGGGTGGGAGGCCAGGTGCTGGCAGGAGGGGAAGCTGAGCTGTGAGGTACCTGCAGAGCCCAGAGGAGCTGGGAGCCACAAAAGGTGAGTTTGTGCTGCCAAAACCAGGGCACCAGCGGGCACAAGGAGCCCCAGGGGGATGGGGCATCCCCTGCTTGTAGGATTCATGAGGGTAGCACAGTTGGGATGGACAGAGATGAGAGATCTCTGCAGCCAGGTCTGGAACTTGGGGTTCATTGCAAAGGGCCTGGGTGCAGGGCCCTGCTGGGAGCTGCCAGCCACAGCTCAGAGCAGGCTGAGAGAAGAGAGGGGGAGAGAGGGTGAGAGAGTAAAAGACAAGAGGTAAGAGGTAAGAGGTAAGAGGTAAGAGCTAAGAGAGCAAAGTTCCTATTACAATACAATAAATCTTCTTCTGTGTTGAATATTCTGATTGTCACTAACCAATCTAGTACAAGATACAAATCCTATAGCATTTCCATACAGCCTATAAGAATCACTACATTACCATACTGGGTTACATTTTAAACCCTAAAAACTCCTCTTTGGGCCCCTTCTGCCAAGCTGTAGGGTCTGCTCTGACCCCTGGACCTGTCTGTAAGCAGAGGGTGTTGTTCCATCAAAAGGGGATTACCTTCAGCTGGCCACACCATTGTTTTCCAGTTGTTCAGTAACTAAGGGATCTCCGAGCTTGATTTCATTTCAATCTCGCTTATAGTTTCCATATTCTCAAAATCTTTTGCCAGGCAATCATATTGATAAGGCTTTCCTGTTTCATCCTCCCCAACACCTGCTCAGTGTGAGCTGCTGCTCTGCTGGGCCATCCCTCACACACTGGGGTGTGCAGCAAACCCTGAATTCCCTGGTGTGCGATCTGTCCTCTGGGACACATCTGCCTTTGATGTGCTTGCTGGGCTGCAGCAGGCACAGGCAGGGCTGCAGAGCTCCAGCTTTAATTACAGAGAAGCTGCTGCACTGCAGCTGAAATCTTGGGGGGGTTTGATCATCCTCATTGTGGCCTGTCCCTGCCACAGTG